TTCTCTGCTCAGCCTAGCAGGTTTTCTAGTTTCTAACCTCTAGTCTTAAGTTCATTAATATTATAACATGCAATTTTTATTTATTTCTTTTTATTTTTTTATTTTTCTTTTAACTACTTGTATCTTGTTTCTGTATTTTCTGCATTTTTTTTTTTTTTTTCTTTTTTCTTCTTTTGGATTAGAAGATTTTTCTTTATTTTTTTCTTCAAAAGTTCTTCTTTCACTATGTAGAAAATCTTCAATCTTCTTATCCATATTTATAAGTTTAACTAGAATGCCTTCAGGAGTAGTTAGCCAGGCCTTCTTTCATACCTAGCTAAGTGTCCTCTAGTCAATTTAGTCTATTTAGAATTTGATCTAAGACTTCCTTTATCTGTCTTGTTTTTATATGTACTTGTGTGTTTAGTCTCATTTTCTTTTTAACTATGTTTTTATTATTTCTTTCTATATTCATGTTTTTGACTCTTAAACATTCTTCTATGTTCTGTAACTAATGATCACTTCCATTTTAATGTATCTTCTGTTTGGAATCTGTTTCTTTTTGTTCTAGCTTTTTTTGTCAATAGTGTTTCTGTTTTCTAACCATTTTTCTGCATCTTGTATTTGAGGACTATTTCTTGTTTCTACATATCTTTTGTTCTAATTTTGGTTAGTTTTTTCCTAGCTTTTTTCTTTTCTTCCTTTAACACTTTCTTCTTTTTTTATTTCTTTTTTTTTCATTTAGTCAGAATACTTGAAAATTATTATATCTGATTGGCTTTGACTAGGCTGCCTTCATTTCTTTTTCTGATGCAAATATAATTATCACTGTTTTTCTTTGATTTCTGTTTCTGTTTGGTGGAATGTATACTGATTTTGTATCTTTGCTTCTTAGGCAGCATAATAGTAATACTTCTGAAGCATTACTTGGCAGCTCTGTTATTTTTGCTATATACTAACTTTGTCTTTGTCTTACTTCATAATTTTTTTTACTTTCTATTATTCTTATCAGTTTGTTACTGTTAACTGGTATGGACTATGGTGTGTTTTCTTCTTCTGATTCTTCTACTTGAACTATTGCAAGAGTCTTGTATTTGGATCGCTTGATTCTTGTTATATGTACTTTTTTAAATCTTCTGCACATATATTTAATCTCTTTCTTATTTATATCTGTTGGCAGATCCCAGATTGTTATATATTTGTGTTTCTGTATTTTCTCTTTCTTAGTATTTATTTGATCTTTAGTCAGTTCTTTTTTTTCTTCTTGCTACTCATATTTCTTTTTCTCAAGTTTTGATATATTGTTTCTTTTCTTTTGATATTTTTTAACATATGTTTTTCTCTTTTCCTTCTTGTCTATTCTTTCTTCTTCTGTGATTATTCTGTATCAATTATTTTCTTTTTTGTTGATTCTTTGTATTGCCTTATTTCTGCCATACTCACAGTCAAAGTCTACTTCTATTTATAGATTTTCTTTTTTAAAGACTTCTTTATTATTTTTGACATGTTTATTGTTTTTTAGTGATCATCTGATAAAGTTCATATGTTCTTCTTTGGTCCTTCCAGATACATTATGTGCTAATATGTTTGCAAGTAGGCTGTTGTTTTGATTGCAACCTCTTTTGCTTGATGCCTATATGCTTTTTTCAAGTAGTACTCCTACTACATTAATTTCTTTTTCGATTTCTTGTTTTTTTTTTTTTTTTTTCTTTTATTATTGATCTCTGTCTTGATTCTTTTCTATTTATTTCTATGTCTTTTTGTTCTTGTTCTTTTTTTTATTCTTTATCATCTTCTCTATAGATAGATGATTCAGCTTCTACTTGGCTATCATTTGTTTGTCTTACCTTTATACTTATTTTATTTTCTGTAATTTCAATATTTGCTTATAGACTTTTGTAGACATCTTTATCCTCTTCTTTCTTTCTTTTTGTTTCTATTTTTAGCTCTTCTTGTCTTTTTTTTATCTCAATTGTTTGTTGTTGTTCTTCTTTTTTTTCTATACCTCTTCTATCTTGGTATTGCTTTACAAAATCCAGCTTTTTTTCAGTTTGCTCTCTTTCTGCTTTTTTTGATATTTCTCTTATTATTTACAAAAGTGCTACTTTATTTGGGTCTTGTCTTGTGAATGCTACTACAATATTATTTTCTCTACTAGGTATTGCATATGCCTTGCTTACTTCATTGAAGAAGATTTTATTATATACACTATTTATTGCCTTATATGCCCTTCTTGTAAAGATTGTATTAAGGCTTCTTCTGTATTTTTTTGGCAGACTTCTGTTCATGTTATACAATTATTTTTTATATACTTTTATGTTATGTATTATATCTAGATTGAACTAGTTTGATGTATGTATTTGTTTGTTTATTTTGCTTGTCCTATTGTAACTTTTTATATAACTTGAGAAATCTATGATATAGAGTTCTGGCAATTCTCTAATTTTTTTAAACAATTTTTTATTTTTTATTAAAAAAATTTTATATATGCTGTTTTTCACTGTTTTTAAAATTTTTCTTCTATATTTTCTATTAAACCATATGCAATTTTTGCTGTTCTGTCTTTTTTGTTAGTACCTCAAGTCTTGTTTTCTAGTCTAGTTGTTGTGTTTTTCTTAGTTTTGTTTTCTGGAAATTTTGGTTAAGGGATCTACAAAGGAGAATTGAAATTTACTGAACTGCTTTTTATTAAACTCAATTATCTATATATTTTTTGTTTTTATTACTCAATTCTATCTTATCTAATTGCAGATCATTGTAAAGTAATAATTAATTTTGCTTAACTATACTTATTTTTTTATAACAAATACTAAACAATTCATTATCAAAAATTTATCAAAAAATTAAAGCTTTATTTTCTTAAACTTTCAATAAAATATAATAATAAATATTATATACCAAAATCTTTATTCAGTATCTATAATAATAATCAATTCATAATTACTGTAACTCTTAATATTTCTAAATTTAAATTTTCTAATAACTTCTGAATTCTATTACTCAAACTACATATTAATAACTTCAACACATAATATATAAACTTCTTTAAAGCTTATCAAAAACAATTTACAGATATAAATAAAGACAAAGTCAAAAACTATATTAAATACTAAATTGCAACTACACTTGCTAAAGAATACAAAAAACTCTTCTTTTTGGATTTTCAAATTACAGAACCTATTTTGTTTCAAAACTGCTTTTTTTAACTACAAAATCTGTACTATTTTATGTTTATATATGTAAAAATAAAGACTGCAAACTCTTATATAAAAATACAAAACAAAATTTTAAAAACATATTTATTCACTTTTTTGATAAATCTTTTGAAACCTTCTCTGCATCTTTAAAAAAAAATACTATTTCTAAAACAATACTATTTACTCTTAACTACTTAATTTTCCTATTTGACCAATAATATACTGTAACTTTTATAAAACTATTTCACTACATACTTTAAATGAACTTGTACTTAAAGCAGATAGAAAATTTGCTAAAATTAATATTATAAAACTAACCTAAAATATACAGCTTATTATCTTTATTCTTATCTTAAAGCTTACTTAACTATTGCAATTACAAATAATAATATTGCAGATCTTGAACCAAATAAAGCTTTAGAAAAAGTTATTATACTTATTATTAACTCACATATTCTAATATAAATAATTCTCTATTATCATATTCAAAACCAACTGAAATTCTTTATTACACAAATCCAACTTGATTATAATTAAAAATATTTTCTAGAAGCAGAAAAATTCATTATTAAACACTATGATATTAAAATTTCTTCAATACAAGATGATACCTTTTTCTTATCCTCAACTATTACATATAATTTACTTTTTCAATAAATCTTTTTATAGATAATATAAATACAACTGTTACTTTCAAAATAATAATGTTCTTCACTAAAAGTATATTATTTTTGAAAGAAAATGCTATAAGTAAGTGAGCAGAAAAACCTATTTATATAAAAGACCAAGTTAATAACAGTCAAATCTAACATACAGGACAGACTATAGTATTCTCTGTAATTGTAAATACTAAATATATAGTGAGTGTATCTATAGAAGAAAACTCTAACTTCTCAGATAACATTACATTATATCATTTTGAGAACACATCTCTAGAAAATATATTTTTATTTAACTCTAAAAAAACTTATATACCAAACATCTTTATAAGCACCTTTACAAATTTAAATATTACTAAAAATAATTATAAATCATTAATAGAAGATACTACTATTAATTCACCAAACATCAAACACTATTCAAGGAAAAACCCACATTCCAACTTCTGACCTACTCAAAATATATAATCTTTTAATATGCTATAACACCTACAACTCTTACCAGCACCACAATCAATAGGTTCCTTTCTAAAATTCATTCAAGATGAATATCCAATATACTTCTCAGAACAATATATTAAAATTTCTATTAAAACCAAATAACAGTAAGATGATTCTAATAAGACCAAAAACGGACCAGTGAATAAAAGCCATTCATTGTTAAATATTTTACTATCTTTAAGAGTAATTCCGCAAATCCGCCCATATGCGAATTAGCTATACAAGTCATTCTCGTTATAGTAAAGTAATCCCCTCCATTAAGAAAATAGTTTTATTAGTAAATTCACTATATTGAGAGAATTTTATATAACTGGCTTTGAGCTTAACTTCACTATATCGAGATTTTACTTAGTCTTCCCTATGTCGAGAGTTCACTACAACGAGAATGACTTGTATATTCATTTGGTAATGTACTGGGCAAGTGGAATAGCGAAAGTATTAGAGGTTCGATCGCCAGACAAGTAAATCATGAAACGTAAACAATTATACAACATAATTTACGAATTTAAGTAAATCCAGGGTGGGTGCATGGTATTTTAGCATTTCCTTTTCATATAATCTGGTATGCTTAAAAAAAAAAGTGGTTATATAATATTTAGATAGAAGACATTTTATTTTATTGGAAAGAAATTGATATAATATTTATAAAAATCCAGTAACTTTATCAAGGAACAACATCCTTTTTGACCCATTCTTCTTTGTTTAAATCAACGCTTTTCTGAAGTTTCCAAATAGTTCTATTATGTGTAAGCTTTAATTCAAGATGATCAACATAATCAACTTTCATCACAATTAATCCAAAATTTTCTAATGCTTTATTAACCAACAATATTTCATCCATATTTTTACCTATTGAGTCAAGTTCTCGTACTACTTTTTGGATTTCACCTTCATTTATTTCTTGTGCTGATGGGGGCATTAAAAATCTAGCACGCAGATCAGAAGAAGTTTCGTACCAATATCTTTTTCGTTCTTGTTCCCAATCGAATTGATCAATTAGAGATGTTAAATTGACAGAAAAAGAATAAGGATGCAACAAATTTGATGGAAAATGAGCAAGAATTGGATTTGTTGGTGGTGGTAATACATATGCATTTCCTGATAACCTGAATTGGTCATTGGTTGATGGAAACCACCTATTAAGCAACATATTAAATGCTTAATTAATTAATTAATTAATTAATTAGGCCAACAAATTTAATATATTGGTTTTCATAATATGAAACTTAATTTCATATATAAATTTTATAAATTTTTTTTTTTAAAAAAACCACCCGGTTATTAAAATTTATAAAAAATTTTTTTACAATCTTTCAAAATTTGACCCGGTCGGGTTATGAAAACCAATTAATTAAATTGTATACCCTTAAATATTTATTTATTGATTAAATAATAAATACTTAGTATTTACCAACAAACTTCAAACCCAGGATTCTCTAGCAAATGTTTTACTTTAGGCGTTCTAATATCTGTTGTTATTACTAATAAATCTGTCTCGATTTCTGGATTTATTCCTTTTAAACTAATTTCAGATGACATGGAATTTAAATATTCTACTAATTCATTTTTATGAATTCCATTATTTTTTTCACCTAAAAATCCACGAAACATCACTGTACGATTTGTTGGTCTACATGTTGATGCATCAAATGTTGAAAACTATTAAAGATTTTGAAAAGTTTTTTATTTAGAACCTTTTTATTTTTGAGGAATTTAAAATTTAGCCGAAAATTGAAGTAATTCTTGTAATTTAAAATACCTGCATTGGTAGTATCGGTATAGTACTTTTCAAAATTTTAATATTCTCTGATATTAAAGATTTTAATATTGGTTTCCAAGGTGTCGATGACATGATTGATAATTTATTTAATCGTTATTGAATAAAAGACTAAAAATATAAGATAAAAAAAAATTATAAATATTTATAATAGAACAGGGGTTGCGAAATAGTGAAATCCGCAGTTTATTATGTTTATTATTATAGGTATTATCGTTATATTAAGCGGATTTCACCCTCATGTAATTACGCGGTTTGTTAATTGCACAGATCTTCACATGTTTTTTTTGTATACGTAGTGCGTAATACGTAGTACATTCTCATAGTCGGACATTCGTTTGATTGCTCGGGTAACTTATTTATACACTTTAAAGTAAGAACTTGATGTTTCACTAAGTAAAAATCACCGCAAAGCCATTTTTCGTTTCGGCAAAACATCTATATTCATTAGGCAAAAATAATCAAAAATAATCAGTAACCTCAAGAACTTAGAAGCGAACTTCTTTATATATTATATAATAGTTCTTATATAGCTATATATAAGTGCTATATACTGTATGTCTGAATTTCAAAAAAAAATGATCCATTAAAAGGCGAACAAAAGGCTTTACTGTAAATTTTGGTAAAAAGCTTTGCATTTAATGAATCTAAATATATTGTTTTTTTTATATTAGAAATTACCTTGTTGGGTTTTTAAATTTTATTGCATTCTTACAAACCAATATGCAAAATTAATATATTGTATTTTATTTTTTTTAATTTAATTTAATTAAATTATTTTAATTTTTTTTCAATTTTTTTTTAAAGTTCTTGCTTTTGAGAAGTGATATTTTATTCAAATTATATAGGCATAAATGCTTTTAGGAACTTCTTTATATAGAAGGTTACAACTAGCCATATGTGTATTTTTGATGCGTAGTTCATCTATATATTACTATACAGATTTTACATTAGATATCACATTTGTAAGCTAACTGCAGATTTTGTCTATTTAAATTCTTTGTATATATAATTTATTTTGCATCATAGTGACATCTTTAAGATTATACCTATCTAACTATTCTAGTAGTGTTTACAGACTTTCACTAATTGTTATTTTTTTAAATTATAAAACAGTACATTAAGGTCAAGTTTATAATTATAATAATATTTATTTTATACTAAAATTTTGCAAAAAATTTTTTACTAACATGCAGAAGATAATTACATATAGAATATTTTGAGTTACAACAATTCTTTTAGAAAATAATAGTTTCAATTTGATTTTATATTATATCTAATTTTATAATCTAATTGGTTAAGTATTGTCAATTAGTAAAAATCTGTTGATGCTATTAAGGTAGTTATACTTATTCAAAGTATCTGATATATATATAAATTGATACATATTTTTAGAATTATTTTATCCTTGACAGAAAACTTACTAAACATTTTATATTTTATATATAACTGACCTAGTTTTATATAACATATTATAGTTAAATTAATATTTGTAGTTATAAATATAATATTATTTATTAAATTACTATATTATTTTATTTTTATTTTTGTAAAGTTTATTAGAATTTCAGTATCTATTTTTTTAATATTTTTTTCATAGAAAATAATAATTATAGTATAGTAATTAGGTTGTTATCTTCCAAGTAACAGGTCTAGTATTCAAATCTTATCTATAATAAAAATTTTTTTTTAACTTCTTTTGCTATCCTAAAGGTCCTTAGATACCTTTAGAATCTGTTACATTTCTTAAAAGCCAGAGTTATTATTTTACAAAGATTATTAGATAGCATGTAGCTTCTGCATATTACTAAACTTATAAGATAACTTATGCTTCATCAAGTCCATCATATGATGTATCAGGTTTTTGGCCCTGTGATGTAAGACCTATTATCTTTTTTGGTCTGTAATTCTTTAATTTCATATAACCTACTAGCCAGATCATCTGTATATTTTAAAGTTCTTAATTCTACTGTTATGTATTCTTAAATCAGGCTCTCTTAATATTAGTATCATTTATTAATAGATTATACTTTATTTGGTTGTCTCCAACCTTGTAGCTATGCTAGTGACTGCATTTTTTTTGTATAAATCTTGTTCTTGCTTTTAAATAGAAGTTCTTTACAGATCTTTTTTCTAATCATGGTCCTGACAGAGTTGTTGTCATCTTTTGAACTTGAACTTATGATTTTATGATTGAGACTCAAGAGTGCTAACCACTATGCTATCAACCTATAGGTCTTACAATGAAATTTGAAAATTATATTTATGTTATAACAAACTGTTTCTTGTTAATTAGTATATTTGTAACTTTGTATCACACTATTTTGAATAAAAGCTTAAGGTATTTATATGAAATGTAATGTTATACATATATAAAGAAATGTTAATAACTAGTATTACACAAAGCTTTAGTATAAACTTACAATAAGACTACCAGATACAGTAAACTAAGAAACTAAAAAGTTAAAAACTCACTTAGAAATTCTTAAGTAAAGAGATAGCATAAATTTTCAACAATACAAACTGACTGATATAAGTCTATAAAACATTCTTAAAAAGATAAGTAGATAAACTGAATAATAAAATATATAGAAAAACATATAATTAATTAGGTTTTTAGAATTATCAAAAAAAAAGAATACATATATATATTATACTGAGCTATTTGAATTAAAAATTAAAGAAGTTTTGTCAATTCTAAGTAGTAATTAGTGATAATAGGTACTGAAGTTTTAGTAAACTTTATAAGAATAGAAATAGTATAATGTAGTAGTTAAATAGATAACTTCTGTAACTACAAGTATTAAAAAATATAGTATATTGTATAAAACTAGATTAGCTATATATAAAACATAAAAGGTTTTAGTAAGTTTTCTGTTAAGAATAAAGTAGTTCTAAGAGCTTAGGCTATATCAGATACTTTAAATGAGTGTAGCCTTAAAGATGTTATTATAATACAAATTGAAATTGCATATATAAAAAGTTTAAATAAGTAAGACCTATAGTTGGCTTGCAGATATAATATCTAGTACAAAATCTGTATAGTAATATATAAATGAATGATTTAAATTAAGTACCAAAAGTGCATATTTAGCTAGTTATAATTTCTTATATATAGATGCTTCTAAAGGCATCTATATTTAAAAGAACTTAAATAAAAACCTCAACTTCTGAAGACAAAGACTTTAACTTAAAATATATATATATATATTTATTATCTCTTATTAAGTTTTTTTACTTAAAACTAATAGAATTTTTTAAATTACTAATTTAGATAATTTAATAAGCTTATAATTAAACCTTTATTATATTTTATAATTTTTTTTTAATAAGTTCTAATAACTTGATTAATGTATATATATTTTTTATATATTTGTTATTTTTTTTTTTTTTAAACTTAAGCAGCATGCTAATACTTTATTAAGATTTTTAAAATTACATTAGCAATTATATAAATATTTCTAATAACTAAGTTTAGCATGAGGTGTGGTGATCTAGTGAAGTGGATAGGTTGTTAATCCCCAAGTGGCAAGTCTAAAGTTCAAATCCTAGTGATGGTGAAAATTTGCAATTCTTTCTGTGTTATGGCTAACTGTCTTCTGTAATTGGTTAGGATAAGATACCTGTAACCTGTGTCATATCAGCATGACTAAAAGATCTAGGCACTCATACAATGTTATATGAGAGAACACAAACTGGTACCAGGTAGTATGAACTCAAGATAAGTCCTTAGGCCATATAAATCAAGCGAACCAGGTAAGAAGATAAAAGCCTACTTGGAAGACCTGAGTAGAAAGGTAACCTGAACCTTCGATGGTGCTACTGTAAAGACTAAACTTATGAAATGAAACTAGAATTTATGAAACTGGGCAAATGTGCTGGTCTTTAAAAAGAAACAGGATGAACCAACCAGGCCACTAGAATTTTCAAGTTTTGGAAAAAAAGGGCACATGCTGGCAAACATGTGAACCAGAGGTGTATGGTTTCAACCTACCTTTTCAGACTATCTGAAATGGCAGCTTGGTGGAACTTGAATTGAATACCAAAGTAGTAAGAATATGTTGTGAAGTCAGTACCAAGGTTGGGGTGAACTCTACAAGGGCATAGCAGTTTAATGATATGCTCTGACTGCAAGTGTTGGTCTTAGTTATAGTGATACCAGATTAGCTGTAAGAATGAGATACAGAAGATTTTGGAAGGTTTAGTACAAGGTCAAAGGTTCTCCATATGAGTAAACTACTTTAAAGACTTAGTGATCATGGCATATTTGAACTAGTATTGACCAAGGCATCTTGGTAGATGTAGGCAAGTGGGTGGATACAGGAACAGAATAGTTAAATAGGGAATCTACAAGCAGGTTCCAGATATGGCAGCTAGTGTAGAACCTTCAGGTGGACTACTTAAATTAGACAATGACTAAAGTTGTACAAGTGGCTAGTTGTACACTCTTTTTATGATTGCCTTCTGTGGTTGTAATGCAACTATTAGCTGAATGTACTATCAATAAAATCCTGGATTGCAAGTACTTATCTTAATATTTAAAAAAAACAAACTAAGTTTAGCATTACCCAGTCATCCAAACAATATCTAAATACAATCTGTCATACTACTCCAAACATATTAAGATAAGTTGCTCATCTAACTATTTAAAGTTCAAAAAGAAAGAAGAAGCTTCTTTCTTCTATGACAAGCTCTAATAATGTCTTTATTGCTTCTTTTTTGATCTGTAAATTCTTTTTTTCTTAAACTTGCTGTTTGATTTTGTTGTTAATGTCTTATATATTATATAGGATTACTTTAATTAATTTAGTTAATGCTGTTTTATGATGTTTGTTTAGTGTTTTTTCTTTAGTGTTGTTGTATTTATTTTGGTATAACTTAGGCATTATTATTTGAATAAAATGTCTTATATTGGTTTTGGAAGTAATAGTAGTTGTAAGATGTAGTCTGGAATTTTTGGAATTTTAAAATATTGTCTAAACATCATTAATGTAGATATAATATCTGCTTGTTATGTGATTGGTAAACTAATATATATCTTGTCTGTTTTATTTTCAAGCATTTCTTGTAATTAA